GTGTGTGTGTGTGTGTGTGTGTGTGTGTGTGTGTGTGTGTGTGTGTGTGTGTATGTGTGTGCCAGGTACAAACACCAAAAGAGAGTCCTGTCCAATATGTTAAACTGTAAGATGTCACGTCCCATTGAGACCAGTGTCTAACAACTCACCTGATTTTCTAAAACAAGATTCAACATTCAGTACAGCACCATTTCCATGTTCAACAATGAAAGATCTACAGAAATATGAGGAATTCTTTTCCCTTGTTTTTTTTTCTTCATGCACTCTTTAATGTTATAATTCTGAATCTCTGATACATGATAAAGATGAACAATTTGGGATATGAAGCATGAAGCTTGTGTATATCCCATACAAAAATATATCATCCTTCCAGTCTTATGTGTCTTTTTCTATTTTAAACTGTAAAAGAAATTAAAGATGCAAATGTAAGACGTTGCTGCCAGAAATTGTAGTTCACTGTGTCCGTGAATAAATATGGGACCAAATGGCCACTTCTGTTTGTGCTTTCTGTTTGCTATGTTTGAGTTATGTGTGCCACTGGAGCTTTTCAAGGGTTATTTGGACTCTGCTCAAGGTTAAATTCTATTATATATTTTATCAATGATCAATATATGTGTATATAGACTTTTGATAAAACTATATTGATTGTTAAAAACCTGCTGAAACCATAGTGAAATTATGACCTTTACTCTTTTTTTGTGTACTTTGTTATTTTATATGTGGTTGAGTTGGATGGATTTTATTGCTGATTTCTGGTATTTATTTTACTGGTTTGTAATAAAGTGTTGATTGGCTCAATGACCACAATGGAAATAGTTCTTGTATGTGGTGTTCATCAAATTTTAATCCAGACAAAACTTTCCTTGAGTCTTAGCATTTGCACGTTCCTCAGACTCCTGCATTTTCCTCTCTACGTAGTTTTCCCAGTGTGTTTCTATCTCTTCCATGAGAGTCTGCATAATACTTTGTACTTACTGTAGGCCTTTGTTATTTTGTTTCTCTGCCTCCACCCTTTTTTGTTTTATTTGTTTGCCTTCATCTGAACCTCTCAAAGTGGCTGGTGGTTAATTTGTCACTTAGTCAGCCAGACATCGTTCCAAAGATGCCACACATGACAGGTTGAAAGTGGGGGAAATATGTCTAAGATGAATCATAAGATGACAAAAATGCCACTTTAATTAAATATAGCAATCATCAACAATGGTACAAACAAGATGACAAAGAGTGAATGCAATAATAAGCTACTTTGGGGGACAGATAATAGGAAAACTGGATGACAGGAGATAAAACCAGTAAATAAAAGTCCTCTCTCATTTTGCTTCTCTGTGTCTGTGTGTGAAAGATGGGAAAATGCTTACAGATGGAAAACCTTGTCTTAATAGTTAAATAATGAATGTGAAATGAGGTGAGCACTGCAGTTTAGAGGCAAAGACTTTGTAATGGCTTGCCAGCCCACCAGACAGCCTTATATTACTAAGCAATTTTCCTCTGCCATGATGAATGACTAAATGAGAATAAACAGATGTTTTATTGTAGGATAGAGTTTCCATGTGCACCAGTTTCCAAATGGTAGACTTTTAAGAAATGGAAAATGAGTGTTCCCAGTGGCACAGTTTTGCTGTTCCATCATGAAGGAGATCCATAGATGTTAGCTGTGCAAGCCCCAGAAGAGGTTTTACATTTCTGTTTTTGAAAATTGGGTTTTACTCAAGAGGAAGAATGTATTCTTATCCACTAAATGCAATTTTTCATTTAGTTCATTCATTTAATTTTCTTTCTTTTTTTAAAAATATCATACAAGTTTGTAGTTTTAACTGAGATAATATTGTACATGCAGAGCAAATATGTGATCTATGTAAGTGTCTGACAACTCTGGGTGTAAGCCACAAGTTTAAAGAGTAAAAGAGAGAGAGAGCATTTTAGCAATACAGATAAATAGATTATTAGTTGGGTTTATTAGCTCGTTTAACTGCCCATTAACAAACATGCACAAATGTCTAACCAGCCATTCACTTGCTAGCAAGGTCAAACTGGTTCATCAGAATTGAGAAGAAAAGTAATGGTTTCTCATTCCAGATAGATGTACACCAATGATTACAAACACACACACACACACACGTGTGTGTGTGTTCGGTGACATGGGCCTCTTCTTTCTTCTTAGACTGATCTTGTAGTAAGTAAACATGACAGTCAACCATTAAATTCTTATTTTTAATCTGTAATGTGCTATTATTGAGTGACTATTTAAGGAGGACCTGACATGATGACAATCAAGGTCAGCTTTTGTTATATAAAAAAATCTCTCATGAATCTTAGTTTGTATTAAAAAGCTAGTGAGATGAGACAATAAAAATGAAAACAAAAAAATGAAATTCTTCAATATTCATGTTTTATTTTACTGCTAAAGATTCATTTGTGTCTCTGGAGGTGCGTATCCAAAAGAAAGGTGATTGACTATTCTTATCATGGGTCTTTAACTCATTTTATGACTCCATGCTTCTTCATGTTGGATAACTGAACCATTTAATTTTAGACGTGAAGTTTGAGAACACTCAACATTTAGGCTTAATGTCTAAAATTCTGGCAGCAAACAAAGGTAATCTCTATTTATTCAAAACAAAATGTTTCAGCTGACTCCTTAACTGCCCATACCATGCCTGTGGGCAGTGGCTTACAACCTACAGTGTTATTTTGCATTAATAGTTAATTATGAGAAAAAACATGTTGGCTGCTCAGATGAGATTTATTTCAACTTGTTTGAGGTTAATGATTCCCCCCTTTATGGATTCAGATTTATCTTGAATCTAAGGAAGAAAAGGTTGCTAGTAGTTTCATTTATAAATCGAATTTCAGAACAATATCTAGAAAGTCTGACCATCCCATTATATTACATTTGGTTAAAATCTGATACAAAGGTCACAGAGATCTTGGACTGAAAACAGGACTGTCTCCAAAAATACCTCTGAGACAAAACAAGCTCATACTTCTGAAATGAACAATGATAACTGTTTTTATTCTTTGTTCAGTACAGAATGCATTCAACTTGCATAAACAAGATACTGACAACTTACACACTATATGACTGCTCCTCTGTGATGTATCATGGAAGGTAAGATTGCTTTCTATCAATAACATAACTGTTTCCAGAAAAGTAGCAAAATGGTTTTGCTATTCTTTTTTTTTTTTCTTTTTTCTTTTCAAAGAAGTACCTCTGTTTATGAGTGTAATGGTAGCTTGTCTACCTGTCACATTATTTTCTACATGGCAAGTTTCTGACTTCATCTCTTTGCATGTTGGTGTTAGGTGTGTATAGTACTGTGGTAGCAGCATCTGAATCACATTACTCTTTAACAGGAGAAAAATTAAAAAATACACTGGATTTTGGTTTATGAATTACTAGTTGTTGATGAATTTTAAGTGATGAAGTCATTTCTTAGGAATGACTTTGCATCAGTGCCTGGAGAAGAAACCATTACTCCCATTCCCAATCATTCTATGCCAATAGGACAAACAGACAAAATGTCTAAGATTGATATAGAAAGGATCAATAAGTTATACAAATGCAGTGAGTACAAAAGGCATGGAAGAGGCAGCCCACTGTTTCCTAAAATGTATAATGAAATGCATCTCTCATTCCTCATGAATTTTTTCATTGAGTCAATGGAAGATATTTCTACAGAAACAGGTGTAGGAGATGTTATTTCCGAATGTCAAATCATTCTAATGACTCATTTCCTATCCTTCTTTTTAGACATTTGACAGGTCATGAAGAGAGATTGACTTGTGAAAAACTTCATGACCTGTCTAATGTCTAATCAGCTGATTTAGCTATAAAACAACAACAACAACAACAACAACAACAAAAACCATCAGTTAGATAAACATGAATAAATCATGAACACTTTGACTCTTACCTGCATGCATATGATTGAGTCTATTCTAAATAGCCTACAGTAATAACTAAATAACTGAATCCAGTTTACATTTTGCACAAATGGCACACACATAATTTTTTTAAGCTAAAGTAAAATAGAAAAAGAAGGCATTTCAACCCATGAACCAAATTATAATTGCATTCTGACAAACCTTTTTAATCTTTATTTAAAATTTATGATTTGTTCATTTTGAACAATCCTCCACATCCACCATGTTTAATTTGCTGCATTACATAGTATTGAAAATATATCTAAATTACAGAGACAGGAAATAAGAACACAGAAATTTGCCATGGCAATAAGCTTACAAAAGCAATTCAAATTAAAGCTGTTCAAAGTTTAAACATTGTCTTTAACTTTCCTGCACTTTTGTTTCTGCAGCTCGTGTTTGTTGTTGCGGGGGTTGTAAGTCACCACAAAGCGGCACTTCAGATGCTGTGAAAGAGGAAACAACAATGAGCATTACATGAGAATCAAAAGGGAGCGTTTCTCTAGATTTCTGTTTTTAACTTAATATTTATTAATATTCAGCTTTTCACTTGTTTTGCATTGGAAAAAAATATTGTTGAGAGACTTTACAAACTTTACAGACTTTTACAAATGTAGACAAAGAAAACATTCACCTTTTTCACAGCACTGCAGCCCTTCAAGTCTTGGTTTTCAGACTTGGGACACTTGGTTTTTCCCATGACTGCATCAATCTTATAGTCGATTGTATTGGTCACCTACAAACATCAGCATACATAAATGTATATTTTACGCTGTAGTGGGATTGCAATAGTAAAACGCTGATTCATTTTGTTTGTGAAAGCTGATTCTAACCTGACTCTGAGCATCAGTCACTTCAATCAATATGAACATTTTCTTGCCCTTGGGCTTTTCATTGAACGTCTTCACAGCATGTTGAGCTGCCTCCTGAACCTCAGCTGAATCTGGATTCCTTTTAACCCAGCCACCCAGAAGAGACTTGTTTTCTTTGATGAAATTAAACACACAAAAACACACAAACATTTAATTTACACAATTTCATCAAGATATCACATCAATGATTAAAAAAAAATGATGAATGGATATTATTATGAGGATGCATTTTCTTATTGCACTAAACCGTGTGCCACTTAATGCATCTGCCAATTTAGGAAATTATTAAAAGTACTTACCTTAGTAATCCTCTCATATCCTAATATTAACTTGGATCTGCTTCCATTTGCAAAGTCATACACTATGCCGAACTCCATATTTTAGTCCAGAAACCACAAAACCCTGCACTGAGCTGGTCTTATACTGCCAAACTACACTGACTTCTAGGCCAAACCAAGCATTGCTCATCAGAATCTACTGTAAAGCTCTACATGGCTCCTGCCTACATATATATCAGCGCGACTGAGGTATTATATGCAGATGCAGCCGACTTCTCATCTTTTCACTGCTCCACCCTCTTACTTTAAATAAGAAGTGAGCTTCTGATGTTGTGGAGATTAAACTTTGGAATATTCTTCTTTGGCCTGTCAGATCAGCTTAATCAGTGTTTTGTTTCAAATCACTCCTGAAACTAATTTCTCGAGGCTGACTTTCCTTTAATCCTTCCCCCATTATTTTTCCCCTTAATGTACATCTATTTGAGTACTCAGTGAGTAAAACAATGGTTTTCATCTTAACAGATTTAGCAAGGAGCTGCCCTTAAAACACAAGTTAAAGTTACACGCAAGGAAAAATGCAATTTTGTCAAATGTATGTCTGAAACAAACACTCCAAAGTTATGAAAATGATAAATCACATTGCATTCCAAATTCTGCGTAAATTGCATCCATGCTACAGATTTTACTGCACTATATATAATCTTCCTTACATACTAAGTACTGGTACTGAGTTTTCCTGATGGATTACTCATTTATTATTTTTATTCCTTAACACTCTGCAGCTACAACTCCACCATGCCAAATTAAACAGCACTTGAGCAAGAACATCTGTATCTGTCTTCTCACTAAGGTAAACATGACTCACTGTAGCCAACCAGACTGCAGTATAGAGTCATCAAATATGGCGCCATTTTGGTGCCGTTTTGACATTCAAAGACTTACTAAGAGGCAAAATGTAAGCTCCCTGACTGTATGAATGGTTTTAAACAATGTTATTTATTACCATCCAAAGTATTCTGACCATATTACGCCATGCTGAGAAATCTGTAATGCAAGAACTGACACAGAGACACTGAAGCTTCAACTGTCACTACAACTGCTATTTTATTCAGCATTTGCACACATTCTAACACTTTGTTTCCAAGGGTGTCATTAGCCCAGTGCATATCTTCACTCATGGTGCAACATCTCATTTCCACAACAACAACTGTAAGCCATTAAAGAGCACAGTAGCATTGGAAGAAACAAGCATATAACAACTACGCAACCATAATAGCAAACACAATTCCCTTAAACTCCAACAAACACAACATCCAAGGAGCACAACAGAAGATCACATCTAGCCTCTCTCATCATGCCACAAAAATATTTAATGACTCATATGTTTTTCACTATTAGCATTCGTATTTTTCTGTATTTTGTCTTGTTATTACCTTGGGTTGCTATCTGAATTTTGTTATTGTATTTTTTCTTCATCATTTGTATAAAAAAATACAGATGTGTATATGCACATTTCATCTCATCTTATCTTTAATGCTGCGATAGTAGGCAATTTACTAATACATGTTTTTCATTGTGGCTAAATGTCATATGAATACACAAAGTCAAAGTAGCTGAATTGCAAATGTTTTGTGTGACTTGTTTCTAGACTGTTAGTCATGGTTCTGACACAGATGTCTACGCTCCAGTGCAGTCATTGTTATATACCTCCATTGTACTTTATAAGAATGGCTCCCATTTCAAGCCCAATGTTGTTTCTACTTTACTGTCACCACATGTTGAGGTACTAATCAGAATCCAAGAGACAGATTCTGTTGACCCATTTAAACTAATTTGTTGAAATAGATGGATGCCTCTCATAATGTATTTAGATGAAGTTTAAATTAACATAATGATATACTGGTGGCTGTTTTTATTCATGTAGGATTTGCATCTAAAGAGCAGGACTAATTCAGTTCTGTTCAACTGAGTTTTGTTTATATAGCCCCAAATCACAACAACCAGCCAACACTGCATGCATGATCTGTTGGGTCTAAATGGGCAGTGAATTGGGATCAGACAGGGAAAAGAAAAACAACCTTTTCTAGGATCAAGTGCATTTAAAATGGGTTGACTTGAAAGGAAATGTGTCCTATGGTTGGCAATCATGGACAGTATATCTTTATTGGGTTGCTTGATTGTACATGCTGACACTATGTATATGCTGGGCAACATGAACAGGTTTTGGAGCAACATGATGCTGCCAACCAGACAAGATTTTGTTTTTCAGCTAATTACTGCATGATTTACAACAGCATCACTAACTGTGTAATAAAACAGTCCTGTTGCTAAACTGGCCAGAACCCATTGTTACTCAGGACAAATGACATCCATCATCTGACAAAAATAGACAAACATGATTTCAACAAAATTCCAGCTGCTCTCATACAGTTTTGTTAAAAGGACAGATGTTACAACATAGGGTTAAACATCTGCAGATCCCAGCTCTTTCACAAAGCATGTTGCTGGTATTGGTTTTAAAATCAGTGCATACTTTAAGGAAACAATCAAATATTTTTTAACTAGATATTTATGTGATTTGCAAATATTTCACATATTTATTTTACACAGCTTCTTAACATTTTTGTAAATGTCCCTGTTGGAAAGTGATATTTTTTCATGAATTTATATATCCAGTGTAAGGCTCTTTTGAAGCACAATAATAAATACAGCCACTTCAGTTGTCATGAAACTTCACATTTTAAAAAAATAATGTGCGTGTATTAGATAGTATTTCTGTAGTATTGCCCCCAAAATTTCAGAAGCTATTTTTTCTGGCTCGCTTGCCTGTGACATTACTCCACATGCTTTTGCTTCTTATATTTCTTAATTACTTACCGGCTATGATGACTTCCTCCACAAGCTGATCTCCCAAGCCCAGCTGGATAACTGATAGGCATATCAGCAGTGACAATGGAAGATACATCTTTATACACCAAACTCTGCTGTGCTCCTCACAAGAGAAAGACTGGTTTCCAGAAAAACTCTTCAGATGAGCGGAACAATTTACTTGTCAACCAACTTGCAGATGTCCCACTCGATTTGGTCTGTCCAAGTCCACAAAGAGAGCACTCAAATGAGGACAGAGATAAAGAGGATTTACTCTAGAAATGAAACTTTAAATAATATAGCTGAAAGGAAAAAAGTACAAAGTACTATATATAATCCATATAGATTATCCATCCGTGTAGTTTATGCTACAAAGAAAGTAGAAATATAAATACCTTTTTGTTAAAGAAGTTGAATACTGGTGAGTGCTGGAACAACAGAGGGTGAAACAGAGAAATGTGAGGCAGGAGAGTGAAAGAGGGAGAGGGTGGCGTCAGTGAATGCCTGTGACTATTCAGCCTTTCAGCTGTGGCCTGTATAACAAGCCAGTGAAGACCACACCCAGCTAATACCACATATGACTGCATGCATAGATTTAACCTAGGGTGTGAATGCCAGAAAAGAAATATTCAAGTGGAAGAGTCAGTTCAGATAGGTGTCTGACGGGCATTGTTGTGTGTATGTGCGCGCTCTGTTGTTTCTCTTTGAATGCATCATGTGGGTGTGTAGTCTGTGTCTATTTAGATGTGCACATTTCCATCTTCTCATTTTGTTTTAAAGCACTGAATAGCCACTTTGTGGAGATCCAACACAAGCCAGATGATGACATCAGTCGGCATACAGTGAGTAACAGTGAAAACCATGGCACACAGCAAAACCACATCAGGTCCAAAATATCTCTTATCATGGAAGAAACTGTTCTGAAAGTTTTGAATAGATTTGCCAATATAAGCAAGTGGAATATGCTAAGTTTACTCACTTAGTGAGCTACAACAAGTAAAAAAAAATGTAAAAGAAAGAAGGAAAGAGTGACATCTTGTTTTGTTGTTCAAGACGATTATAAACAATATCCAGTGATTTTCATTGGATATCAAATAGTGTTGCTTTTACCAGCCTCAGGTCAGACATCAGAGAAAATTCAGAAAGTGCATTAAATTCTAATTATACAAATGGGAAATCACAGTATTTATAATCCTCATCACTTATGGGAGGCTAAATTTGACAAAAACTTTGACCCAGACTGAAATATTAACAAATATTTAAGATGGTTCAGTCAAACAACTCACAACTTTAAATTATTTATTGCAACAATAGAATAATTACAGTTCTGAGCTCATCACTCTGACAGCATGTTATATATAAACATGTAGTATGATGAGTAAATATGCCCTTAGAGAAAACTGGAAGGGTGTGTGTGGAGCTCCTATGGTATATTGCATCTGTGATAAGGGATTGTCTGGCTTTTCCTTTAGCATCACCACCAGGTTAAAATGCCTAAAAGCATAGGGTGTACTGACAGAAATCTTGGGACACACATTATCAGAGAAAGATTGCGATTACTTTTGGTAGTGGTATGCACAAGTTACAACTGTGCACTGGTGGTAGAGCTCAAAAACACAACGAGGTAAAGACTTGGTTGTAAAATATGTGTTGCTAAAATCTAATAACCGACTGCATATGAACTGAGGTTTAATGTAATCTTACTGAGAGACAGCGAGCAGGCCAGCACTGGTGGATTTACACTGGCTTGCTTGAGTATTTGTGTTAAAGTAAACTGTGGAATACAAAACGTGGATGATGTACACAGTCTATAGGACTGATCCCGTTCTTATTTTAAACCTATTGAACTGTGTAATGAGTTAAAAGGCCCAGCAGAGGGAAGCAATACCACAGAACATAAAGCAACAAGTTTTTTATATAACTGTAGAGAAACAAGTTTTCTTTCTTTAACATTCACTTCATTGAGATGCTCTAGTGCTATTTCACATTATGAGTCCTGAGTGCTTAAATGTAAGCTCTATGTAAGAGTTTGAGTTTGAGAAACTGAATATAGGTTGTTGGTCGTCGTCAACAAATAATAGCCTGCATAATAGGTTTACACTTACTTTAAAGTTTGTATTACAAGGTGCATTACTGTAACAAAATTAAAGAGAAGACACTAGTATAATTTCAATCTAAATTTGAATATGTTTATCATAGAAACAGATATTTAATTGCTAACTTGAAGCCTAGTTTTTGGATGCATGAAAATACAGAAGTGTCACAACAGATGGCTAAATGAGCTACGGAAAAAAGACCCAGATGAAGGACGGACACATACAAACCAATGAGACAAAAGATAAGGCAGATGGGAACAGAGTGACAGGTACATTTTGTCCAGCAGTAGTAAGACAGATGCCAGGCAAGATAATAGACTGGAAGATACAAACCACACAGATGGATAGGTCATCAGAAGGCAAAAGTAGTACACTCCAACAATGCCACAAACTGCTCTTTCAAAAGTATGAAAGATTTAAATTAACAAACACAATTTAAACAAGCAAACAAACAGTGAATGCTCATTTTCAGGAAAGCAGTATTTTTGTAAAGCTTGTATTGATGGGGAATTCACTCCACAAGTGTTCTAGGGCAAACATTAAGCAGGTACACTCTATAGGAGAAAAAAAATCTCGTTGCAAATATGTAAACACTGGATAAGCTGATAAATTAAGATGGACAACCAGACTCTTTCATATCTCTTTTACGCATGCTTGGCAATCACTGCTCTTCTGCTCCTAATGAGATGTTAAAATGTAACTCTTCCAAGCTGCAGCTAAAAAGGTCAGGGTCAGTAAGGGGGGCTGGCTGAGCTTTTGGAAATTGGAAATCCCCTTTTCAATGGAATAATTGATGTCACCCTTGTATGCCTGATGAGCGGACTGGAATCCAACTGCCACAGTTTGCACTCTAATTGTTCCTGACTGTTAATCATAAAACTGAACAAAAAGCTGTGCAAGTGGCTGATTTTTTCTCTGTGGAGGAGATCTGGTTGAGAGGTCAAAGTTAGTTTACAGGAAAAAAAAGAGTGTAAAACAGACGAGAATTTGTTATGTCAGAAAGCTGTTTTGTCATGTGCTAAATCTGTCCCTGTGACAAGCAGTGGTTTTTTAATATACTGCATTAGACCAACAGATGTGTTTTTCCACCTCTATCATTCATGGGGGAGGCGAAAAGGGAATTATTTCCAATAATTAGCTGTTACTGTCATGTAATTTATTGCTGGTGAAGCCCAGAGCACTGGAACCATTAATTGGTTTAATGTGTTATTTACTCATTAACAAACAGGTAAGCCAAATATAAAAAGAAATAAGTAAATCAGTGGTGCACTTCATGAGACGGGATCAACATTTTAGCTGGAAACCTGTAAAAGGCTGTTTTGCTTCCATCGTTATAGACATGTTCAGTTACTTTGACGCATAAGAGCTTATTCATGTCTAAACAAAACATTTAGCTAAATAAAATAAAATAAAAACAGAACGTAACAATATTATGTTTTTAAAAATAAATCACCTTAAATAAAATTAATATATCCAGTGAAAATCTTTTGTCATTTTGTTGAAATCTGTAAAAACCTGCCTGTATGCAGCATTACTTTGCCATTGAAAAGTGTTGTGCTTTTATTGTATATATTGCAATACCTATTCCGACTACCTATACCTATTTTATGCTATATGCATAAAAAATAAACAGGTAAACCATGGAAAAAATGTATATACATAAATTTCATTAGAAATTAAAAGAGGCAGCTTTTATAAGTACATTTTTTAAAAGTTACAACTGCCTGAAGTGGAATTTTGATTATTTTCCATTTTTTATAGTAGACACACATTTGAAATAAACCTGCATACATTAAAAACAGACCAAAACATTCAAACTTTCATAACCCTGCTGTTGGAGACCTCGCTCTGTTTTTCATCCCGCATTCCTCATTAAACCTCAGACCTATAGCTCAGCCTCCATAATCTCTTTACAGTTAGGGGCCGCCCACTCAGTCAGGTGATTGACATCCGCCGCCTCCAATGGCGCAGCAGCCCACTTTCCGGCCTCGTTCCTCCCTCCTCCTCCTGGTTGCTGTCCGACTTTGTTGCTCTCTTGCCCCGCTACTTCGTGTCTAGTGTCATCGGTGAGTCGAGGAACAACTCGTTGAGGTACCAGCCATGGAAGGCGACAATATAATAATGCCTGTTTGACTCGGGGATAGTTTCCAAGGTAAGTCCGGCCATTTAAAGTGTTTAAACCGGGCGGGAGAGGATTAGCGGCTAGTAAACTGCCTGTGTGTGTGTGAGGGGTGGTTGGTGAGGGATGTGGGGACGAAAAGTTTAATCCGCCTCCCTACACGGGACAGGAGGGAATGAAGGGAAATGTACTCTACTGTTGTTCACAGTGGGGACTTGTCGTACTAGCCTCAATGTGGATCCCTGTTTAGGCTGTTAAACATCATACCACAGTCTTTTTTCCTCTAATTGTATTTTAACTTCATGCCTTGTAATTATGGGTAAAAAGCTGGTGGTACCCTGGACAAAAAGCACTGGTTACAATGTGTTGTTCTTTTATTATTGATAAACTGAGCATGGCTGTTTTTTGTTTCCACTGTTAATTAAATGTTTTTCTGTTGCTGTGTTTTAGATTTAGATTTCATTTAAAAATGATGCAGTGAGAACAAGGTGCTGCATGATATTTAAATGTGTAAATATTGTTGTGATGGGTGGATTGTAGATTGGTGTGGTTTGGTTCTAGTGTACTTTTTGTATTATTGTTGTGGAAAGCGTGCTTGTGATTTGTGTAATTATTTTCTAAATATAGTAAACTAGTGTGATAAATGTAAAGAAAAAAACTTTCACTGGCTTTCATTGACATGCTTTGGTTTCAGTTCTGAAAACCAAGCACGGGAACTCACTTGGCAGAGTATAAATGAAGCGTTGAAATCATGGCCACTGAAAGCACTTGTTGATGTAATAAACAAGATTAGTCTTCATCCTGCCCTTTGTTGTTGTATATTTATATCTGCAATTAGTTCAAGTTCCAGGTCAATAGCAAAAGCTAACGCTCTGAGAACTCAATCAGAAACGAATACTTACTATAATGCATAAGCAGACAGAGAGACAGACAAAAAAAGAAAAAGATGACAGAGACACTGGGATGGGGTCTCACTGCAGATGTGCATTCCTCTAACCAGTGGAGTGCTCAAGCTTTTAAATAGAGCTCAACAGGAATGCAAACAGACGAAGCAGAATGATGAAGCCTGAAGGTGTCTCAGGAGTAGGAAAGGGAAGGAAGGTGGGAAAAGAAATCAGAAAAGCAGGCAGCGAGCCTTTTGCTTGAAATTAGCTGTTTCTTGAATGTTGCCCCGCTAAAAGGAAAATGTGGGTAAAAGTTCATGCTGTAACATCTGTCTTTATGAGCTTAAAGGCTTTAAGAAACTCATAGTTGCCCACAGTGTAAGCAGTACTTCTGTATCAGTGGA